CTCAGACTAGCGTGGGGGGGCTGGGCAGCCGCCTTCCTCCGTTATCTCCCAGCAGCATTCCAGTGCACAAGATAGAGTGACAGGGAACTTGGAGAACTCAGTTGTTGCAGCCCGTGCTGGAAAAGAAGGAGCTGAGAATTCCAGAGGAGGTCCTGGCTCAGAAATTGCCTTTCTTTGAAACAGCTGTTTTTATTTAAAAAAAAAAAAGGCAGGGAGAGAGAGATCTTTTATCCACTGGCTCACTCACCAAATGGCCACAGCAATCAGTATCGGGTCAGGCTGAAGCCAGCAGCCTGGAACTCCATCTGGGTCTTCCACGTGGGTGGCAGAGGCCCAAGCATTTGGACTATCTTGCGATGCCTTCCCAGGAGCATTAGCAGGGAGTTGAGTGGGAAGCAGAACAGCCAAGACTCAAACCAACTGGGTCACAATGCTGGCCCCAAAAGAGGTTTTAGAAGGCACACGTCATAAACTCCATGTGGCCAAGGGCTATGTCTGTTCCACACACCACTAAATCCCCCACGCCAAGCTCAGTGGCTGAAACATTAGCTGGGTAGTTTGAATGAGTACTGACCCCAAGCCAGGGGCTGCCTGCAGAAGCTTTGGAAAGGAAAGAAATTGTGAGTACTTGAAACTGGATCTCTCCAGCTGTTGGCAGGCTGGTCTTGGGAGCTGGAGCGGTGGCTAAGAGTGGCAGCCTAAGTGCTGGCATTTGCTGGCAGGGGTCTGGAGCCCTGAGCCAAGCCAGGACCTACCCAGGAAAGCGAGCCCTGCTGCGGCGGACGGGCCCTGGCTGCTCAGTAGCCTCATGGCTCCGGCTTCCAACAGGGGTATCACCTCTCGTTTTGCTCCTGCTCCTTTTTGAGCACAGCATTGCCAGATTCAGCAAATCAAAATACAGGATGTCTAGTTAAATTTAAATTTCAGAGAAATGATGAACATACTTTTAGTAAAAGCATGGCTTGTGGGGGCTGGTGCTGTGACATAGCAGGTTAAGGCACCCCAGCGATGCCAGCATCCTGTATGAGTACCAGACTCCTGGCTGTTCGGCTTCTGATCCAGCTCCTGCTATTGCATCCTGGCCTGATGCATTGGTGACCGTCCTTACCCCTGGGCTGGGAGGTCATGGCTGAGCCTAGCCCCAGAGCCCTGGAAAGGGCAGTGGAGCCTGTCCCTTGTGCTGTCCGTGAGACAGGAGGTACACACACTGGGAAAATGGAAGTCAGTGCCAACCCCTGAGTGTTTGGTCAAGGCTGCCTGTGGCTGAAATGTTCTCAGCGGGGGAAGAAGGGTTGAATGACAGAGAGGGACCATGGAGCCTCAGGTCTTGGGATGACAACCGTGACAATAACAGCTCCCACCCTGAGGCTCCTGCACCTGCACCAGGCTCCAGGCCTTCCGTAAGCTCACCAGTTTTCACAATGACCAGCACCTCTGCTGTGACCCTGCTGGCCAGCTCAAGCACTTGGAATGAGGGTCTGGGACGGGGGGGGGGGGGGGGAGGAGTGGGAGGGGGCTGGGAGGAGGAGGTATACCGTGGGCTAGAGGTGGGATCTGCACCACCCCTTCCACCCTGTGTGACCCCAGGGAACCTCCGCCCCTCTGAGCCGTAGCTTCCTGACCTGCAAAACTAGCCTGATGGCCAACGAGCCTTGGGGGTGTGGTGAGAAGTCACAGCTGCCAGGGTAGAGGGTGCCCACCTGAGCAAGGCTTTGGCGAGCCATCATCTCAGAGTCCCCACTTGGAAAGCAGGGGATGATTCCTGACACCTTTCCTGGTGTCACTCCTACTCTCTGGGGAGATGGGGAGGTAAGAGTCCAGCCCACTGAGATGGGTGAATTTGACCTTGGCCTTAGGAGGCAGGCCTGCTGGGCCATCGGGGTCCTCTGTGAACAGAATGGCAGGAATGACAGTTGAAAGCTTTGTTGTATGAAAGGAGAGCAGCACTGGCTGGGTCCAGTCCCTAGAGACCGTCCAGTGACCTAAGAGCTGGGGAAGGGACCCTGGGAGCATCTGTGGCTTTTGGGGAAAGCATAGCGGATGGCGTGCTAAACAGAAGCAGTTGTACCCAGAGGAGTGGCTCCAGGACCATGGCCTCTCCCAGGCCCCACACAGCGCCCCTTGCCAACTCAGGAGGGCCACTGCCAAGCAGGGCATCTGAGCTCCATAGGCTTCTGGGGTCTGGAAGGCACGGAGGCCGCCCCGCCGCCCCCAGGCTGCTGTGGGAAGACTGCAAGTTGGGGCGAGCTGGTGAGTGGCGCTTGGGGGCGCTGCTCCAGGCTGCCCAGGACCAAAGCTGCCACAGCCACCCCACCCCGACCGGGCTGCTGCCCAGAAGCGCCTTCCGGTTCTGTCTCCCTGGACTTCCCCTCACAAGGGCGAGCCAGATGCCCGCAAGTGCCCGCTCGCTCCTGTCCCCTCCCTTGCTGTGACCCTGCCAGTGGGAAGCCCAGGGAGGGGGTGGACGGGGCTGGCCGTGACCTCAGCAGGCTGGCGTCACGGCCCAGTCTCTGCCAGGATGAGGCTGGGAGCCCACTGAAGGCAGAGCCGGCATTTCCCTCCAGCTGTGGTGCCCCCACAGAGCCTCCCTGTGCCTGGGTTACTGATGGACAGAAGAGAGAATGGCCACGTGCTGCGGAAGATGCCGCCAGTGGGGTTTGTGCCAGCGAAGGCGCTGGCAGCCACAGCAGCCCCGGGCCAAGCCCTGTGTGGTGGAGATTGTGGGTGTTGCCACCCCAGGCTGTGAGTGTTCTGTGGTTTTCTCCAAGAAGCCACAGGCTGCCTCACTGGCCTGAGATTGTCCTCTCCTGCTGCCTAGTTCAGGGTCAAGGGGAGGCCCCTGAACCCAAATATCCCACCCCAACCCAGGGCTTCCATGCGTCCTGGGCCCTGGCACCAAACAAGTGGGGGCGGGGGTAACCCTTGGGGTCTGGGTTCTGAGGAGCAGACCCTCCTGTGTTGGGGACGGGGGGATCCCCGCTGCGGCTCACTCAGCCCCACAGGCACGGACACCACAGCCAAGGCCATGGCCCGCAGCCGGGGCGGCAGCACTCAGTGGACAGTGCTGGGGAAGTTTCCAGGGGAAGCTGTGTCTGGGGCGGGGCTGTCCAGCAGTGTAGCTGGGGGCGGGGCTCTCAGTGAAGGTGTGTTTCCAAGGTGAAGAGCTCAGCTACCTCCTCTCTGGGACCTTAGCAAGCCACCTGGCCTGGCCAGGACTCAGCTGTGCCGTCTGTGAATTGGGAGAGCAACATCGACTCTCAAGGATTAATTAAGATAAGGCCTGGAAAGCAGCTCTCGGGGTCTGTGGCCACTAGGCACTCACTGAATGCTGTTTTGTTGTTGTTGCTATTACAATCTCTTCCCCTTTGCTTCTGGAAGCCTGCACTGCACTGGTTACAGCCTGGCCTCTGGGGGTCATGTCACACAGGGCTTGATTAGGATTCGCTTTATCTGAGAGGGCAGAAGCAAGGGGCCACCCTCTCAGGGCCCCAGAGGAAGAGACCTCACAGCAGGGCCCCATAACCCAGCCAGACAACCCTCCCCACCGCGTCACCATAATTCTCAGATCTGCTTAGGGAGGGGGAGTGTCGGCTATTATGTGGGGGTCTTCAAAAAAATTCATGGAAACTGTGCATATGTATGGGTTTCAAAAAATTTTGCACCAAATAAACTTATCTTTTAATTCCCATGAACCTTTATTTGACAGGCAGAGAGAAACAGACAGACAGACAGATAGGCGGGCGGGCAGGCAGAGAGAGTGAGATCTTCCATCCGCAGGCTCACTCCTTAAATGTCTGCAACAGCCAAGGCTGGGTCAGGCAAAGGCCAGGAGCCAGGAACCCAACCCAGGTCTTCGTTGTGAGCGGCAGGGAACAAGACTACTTGAGCCTCACTGCTGCCTCTCAGCACGAGTACTAGCAGGAAGCTGGAATCGGAAGCAGCCCCTGGCTCAACCCCAGGCACCTGCCATGGGATGCAGGCGTCCTAACTGCTGCGCCAATGCCCGCCCCTCAGTGCTTTCTTCAAGTCCCCTGATGCCTGCCTTGCTCCATCCCGTGACAGTGTCCTGCCTCTCCCAAGACCCAGGAGGTGCTGACTCTACTCCTGCTTTGGGAAGATGAAGAACAGGGTCTGTCCTCACCTTTTTCAAGACCATCAGGGATCCAAAACAATGTATTTTATTTAATATCCTGACAGACTGTACCTCAGTGGTTTGCAGAAGCGCCTTGCAATAGTTTTCTGTGATGATGAAAACATTCCACATCTATGCTGCCTGGTGTGGCAAGCAGTAGCCACACCCAGCTGTTGGGCACTAACATGTGGCTGCTATGACCGAGGGACTGAATTTTAAATTTCATCTCATTTTAGCTGATTTAACGTTATGTAGCCACATGTCGTCAGTGGCTGGGGTATTGGACAGCTACAGATGAAGCACGTGTGAGGCTGGGTGTGATGTGTGATAGCTACCTTTCCTCATATGCAGAGTGGACATCATAGTGGTAGCTGCCAGGCCGATGTGGGACTTGCACAACATTGAGAGAGGCCAGTATTCTGTGGATCACACTCTTACTTCAGAGTCTTGAAAGAATCTGCTAACAAAGGCCTGCCTACAAATTTCTTCTCTTGAGTCAAGAGTGCAGCTACTTCGGCATGAGAAGCCAAACTCATAGGCACCCAGGACAGCAGGTAGATGGGGCCGTGCTGACATGACAATAACCATAGCGGAGGCAAATCTCTGTGGCCCTGCTGACATCACCTCTGTAAAAACCCGCAGAAGCTGTGCATTGGCTGCACTTCCTCTTCCCCTCCAGTGACGAAGCTTTCCTGTGACGCCCCCCACCTGCCGGCTCTGGTCTGGGTGGGCGCCCTTCCTCACTGGAGACACCAGCAGGCCCGCATGGCAAGGTGGTTCTGAGGGTTTGGTGAAGGCTCAATGAGAAAATGCATATCGAGGCGGTGAAGACAAAGCAGGTACTCAGCAAATGAGCCATATCCCCATCTTTTTTTTTTTTTTAAGATTTATTTATTTATTTGAAAGTCAGAGTTATACACAGAGGCAGAGAGAAAGAGAGAGAGAGAGAGAAAGAGAGAGAGGTCTTCCATCCGCTGGTCCACTCCCCAGTTGGCCACAACAGCCAGAGCTGCGCTGATCCAAAGCCAGGAGCCTGAAGCTTCTTCCTGGTCTCCCACATGGATGCAGGGGGCCAAGGACTTGGGCCATCTTCTACTGCTTTCCCAGGCCACAGCAGAGAGCTGGATCAGAAGAGGAGCAGCCAGGACTTGAACTGGAGCCCATATGGGAGCACTGCCGGTGGCGGCTTTACCCACTATGCCACAGCACCGGCCCCCAAATCCCCATCTTCTACAGTTTTTCTGGTGAGCTCAGAAATAAAGATGGGAGGGAGACCCAGACAGAGTCCAAGCTCTAAGCTGGATCCAAGCCCAGGGAGATCGCCAGGCCTCCAGCAGTGTTCGGCCCAGCAGAAATGGACGCAGGCAGTGTTGGGGCCCCTAGGGAGGTGACAGGAGCAGCTTGGAGGAGAGTCCAGGGGAGGACAGCAGTGGGAGCACAGCAGGTGGCTGACTGTGCAGCTGGGCCTGGTGTGAGACACATAGGGGACCCCCTCCTCCCCCACCTGCACCTCCAGGAATATCGCGCAACTTTACAGAGCCGGGCGTCTGGCCAGGCAGGAGGGCGGCAGCCAGTGTGCCGAGCGACGAGGACAGTGCAGCATCCCACCAAGCTCATGGGCACCCTCTCCTTCGGATTCCCCACCAGACAGAAGAGAGGGCCGGACAGGCCACCTCCTGGAGCCCCTCAGAGGGGAACACGTGGCATCTCCTGCCAGGGCAAGGCTCGGGGCACCACCCAGACGGCACTTACCACCCAAGTTTCTCTGCGCCTGGGCCACCGCAACTCAGGGTCTGACTCCAAAGGGGTCCGTCCTCTGCACAAGTAGGACAAAGATGCAGGGCAGTTGCCCAGCCTGGAAGAGTTACAACTGAGGGAGCTCCGCAGGGGCAGGGGCCAGAGCAGAGTTATCTGGGTGCTGGCAGCTGACACAGCTCTTATCATAGAGGCCACAGAGGGGCAGGAGGAGGGCGATGAGGCAGAAGACTTGTGGGGGTGGGGGGCTGGAGCCGGAAGAAGGCTTAGGAGGGACAGCAAAGAAGGGAAGGGCGAGCCGAGCTGGGAGGTGGGAGGACACTGGAATGCGGCAGGGGGCCATCACTCACCACAGGCATCGTTGACTCATTCAACAAACACGTCCTGAGCACGGGCTGTGGGCCAGGCCATCTGGCAGGCTCTGGGCGGCACAAAGGAGGGAGCATCCCCGTGCTTAGTGCCAACGGCTCTGCGCACCACGGGGCTCCTGGAAGACAGGCGGCTGGCGCTCCGCTCCCTTTCCACGCTGGCACGAGCACTCTTACCACCAGGGAAGCCTGCGTCACTCAGGACCATGAATAGAGAACGAGTTCCCTAAGATACTCTCTCCTGACCCCAACCTCTCTCGAGTCAGTGTCTGATCCCTGGACAGCTGCACAGGCAGAGCAGTGTGGAGGGCACTTGCTTTTGTTTTTGTTTTTGTTTTTTATCTTCCAGTGCATCTTAATCAAAACCCCACCATCAGAAGAGTTTGCATGGCACACATGTCAGGATGGACATGTCTGTTTGATCCTACAAATGGAATTCTCACAGATTCGTCTATCAAACATGTATGAAAAACAAAAACATAATGTTTAGGAGCTGCCATTGTGGCAAATAGGGTAAAGCTGCCGCCTGCAGTGCCGGCATCCCATATAGGGGCCGGTTTGAGTCCTGGCTGCTCCACTTCCAATCCAGCTCTCTGCTGTGGCCTGGGAAAGCAGTGGAAGATGGCCCAAGTCTTTGGGCCCCTGCAACCACATGGGAGACCTGGAAGAAGCTCCTGGCTCCTGGCTTCAGATTGGTGTAGCTCTGGCCATTGTGGCCAACTGGAGAGTGAACCAGCGGATGGAAAACCTCTCTCTCTGCCTCTCCTCTCTCTGTGTAATTCTCTTTCAAATAAATAAATAAATCATATATATATATATTTATGTTTAGCTTTCACAATCTCCCCACTTAATTACTTTGTCCACCTCTTGTCCATGAAATAGCCTGGGGTCATTAAGCGTGCATTGGCCAATGACTTCCTTTTTCTAGAAATTTCTGGAGAAAATACCTGATGATGAGAGTCAAATGCTCACAGGAATTGATGTGAATTAAAAGCTAGCACACTCCTCACAGCGGTGAGACATCAACGTGGGAGATTTCCGATGGCTCAGGGCCCAGGGGCTGCCCACACTGTCCTGGGGCCTCCCACCACAAAATGTGCAGGGCCACAGACTGCAGAGCAGAAGGAGGGACCCTCAGAGACCTGGAGACTGGCAGGAGAGAGAGTCCACGGACCAAGGAAGTGTGGAAGAAGAGAGAAGCCCAAGGATGAAGCCAGGGTTCTGGGCGCAGATCTGGGTTCTGCCACTTAGGAGCTGGGTGACACTGAGCACATAGCTCCTGGGGCCTCGGTCCCTCTGGCTCAGATGAGGACAGCACGTCCAGTGGTGCAGTGACCCCTGGTGGACCCATGGGATTGGCTCCTGGACCCCCCACGGACGGCAGACCCCCCCCCCGCCCATGCTCAAGTCCCTCACATAAAGCGGAGTAGGGTTGTGTGGCACCCTCGCACGTGTCTTCTAAACCCCTCTAGATTAAATAATGCCTGATGCTACATAAACAGTTGTTATATTGCATTGCTTAGGGAAGAACAGCAGGAGAAGCCTGCGCGTGTTCAGGGCACACGTAATTTTTTAATTTGAATCCACGAATGCAGCACCCGCAGGTGTGGATACGAGGCCCCAGTGTAGTCCCAGAAGCTGAACGTCTGAGTGGGAAAGGCCTAGCTTGGGGACGCAGCCTCGCAGCAGGAGAATTGGGGACGAGACTCCTGCTCCTGCTCCTGCACAGGCAGTCAGGAGCCACCTGCGGGGGCTGGGGCTAGAGGGCGGGCCTCCCCGCTTGCGTTATGAAAGAGGGAAGAGAAGGTAGGCTTTCCTGGGGTCACTTAGCCAGGAAAGACCCCAGGGCTGCCGTTGGGGTTGGAACATTTTCACCAAAGAGGGGCCACAGATCGGTGGGGGCGGGCGTGCATCCCCTGGCACCCTGCTCTTGCAATGGTGGAAGCAGACAGGGCCCTGGGAGAGCCCTGGGCAGGCTGCGGATCCACTTCCTCTCTAGGCATCCACAGCGTCTGTTCAGGGAAAGCGCGAGAAAACCCGGCGGTTTATTTCATTAAAGATTTCTCTTTAAAGATGTCTGATACACACTGGAGGGAAGAAAACCTTTCTCTTCGCTTTGTCCATCACTCGTAGCATTCGTCACTCACACCCTCAGGAGACAGAGACGCATGCAGAGATATAGTTACAAAATTTTGTTCATCATGTGCCTTCAGTTTTTTTTTTCCCCCCAGCATTCACGTCAGCAAAACTATTTCCCACTCTTCTGTGGTTCTGCTCATTTTGGTTTCCTTCTGCTGTTTTGAAACGAGGTGACTTCTCAGGAGGTGCATCGGTTTGGTGACGCACAGCCCTCGGAAACCTAAAACTCAGCTCAGCAGCCAAGAGACTCGCGGTCCTGCAGCTCCGCCAGTCTCCAGGATCCTGCATGGCAGACCTGAGGGTCAGCCCCGGGCTGGGCTCGGCTCCGTCCCCTGCCATCTCGCAGCTGGTTTCCCTCCGTGCCCTGCGGCAGCAGCAGGTGACAGATCAACAAACTGTGCCGCACACTTTTAACCTGTAAATGACGAGAGAGAGAGAGAGACAGAGAGAGACAGAGAGAAAGTGCCAGGTGCCTCCTAGGAGTGAGAACCCAGCACAGCTCTCCCACATGAGTGACAGGAACCCAGTGCCTCCCAGGGTGTGCACTGGCAGGAAGTGGGAGTCAGGAGCAGGAGCTGGGTGTTGAACCCAGGCACGCCAGTGTGGGGCTCGGGCATCTGGACTGCTACGTCAAACCTTGGCCCCACATAAGTTATCGTGAAGCAACAATCCATGGCCACAAAGATCAATAGCAGGGGTGGCAGTGGTCCAAGGCCGAGCGGACGGCTAACGACAGACAACGTCACAGAAGCGGTCTGCGTGCCAGCCTGCGGTTCCGGCAGTCTGGTGATACTTCTTGTTATCAGGTTGATGTGCGTGACGGTCCCTGCTTCACAACCACCTGCCTTTATGTTATGGTTAGATTTTTTTGTTTGGGCTTAACACAGCGATTTCTTTTTTATTCTGACAGCTCTCACAATTTTACCTACGATAGAATCTCACTCAGCCTTAAAGAAGAAGGGAATTTCTGTCATCCGCTGCAGCGTGGATGAATCTCGTGCACATTAAGCAAAGTGAAAATGTCAATCACAGAAAAACAATTATTGCGCGATCCCACTCCCGGGAGGCACCCCGAGTAATCAAACTCTTTTTGACCAAAGGTAGCGTGGGGGCTGTCAGGAGCTGGGGGAGGGGAGAACGGGAAGTTACCGGAGGGGATGAAAAATGTCTTGGAGGTCAGGGAGTGGAAGCCGTGGGTAAAGCTGTCACCTGCAACACTGCCAACATCTCCATATGAGCCGCGGCTCAAGTCCTGGGTGCTCCACTTCAGATCCAGCAGAAGATGATCCCAATGCTTGGGCCCCTGCCACCCATGTGGGAGACCCAGAGGGAGCCCCTGCCTCCTGACTTTTGCCTGGGCCAGACCTAGCTGTTGTAGCCACTTGGGGAGTGAACCATTGAAGAACTCTCCCTCTCTCTGTTACTCTTTTAGATAAATAAAATAAAAGTGAAATTAAATAAAAAAAAAATGTTCCCAGGATAGATGGCTTGATGGTTGTACAGCCATGCGAACGGACTTAGCATCATTGAGCTACAACACACTAAGAAAGGGCTAAGGTGGTTGAGTTTAGGCTATGTATGTGACACCACAAGTTAGCAAAAAGATGGCTGTAGTGGCCTTGGGGTTCCCACCACGTCCCTCTGAAGAGGAGAGATCTCTTTTAAGGGAATGGCTCCTTCTTTTCCGGATGCCTCTGACAAACCAACCCTCTCATTAGGGTCACATCTCTCATTCCTGAATCATCCCTGCGGCAGGAGGAGTGTTCCACGAAGACTGGCTCCAGTCTGGGCTCCTCGGAGCTCTGCGACCCCATGAGGCCCAACTCCTCTGTGCAACGTGGGGGTGGAGGTGGGGGAGGGGCTGAACACAACTTCTCACCAGGCCGCATTTCCCAGCCTCCTCTGCAGGTCTGAGTGTGAGCAGGGGCCCGTGTTCCTCCTCCAGGCCTAACCCTGAGGCGGAAGCCCTGCCTCCCTGCAGCTCCTTTGACTTCCCGGGCAGTGGCTACCGCTCAGAGGATGACCTAGTGGTGGGGAGCACAGAGCGAGGAACTTCCCCCAAGGCGAGGAGCCCTCACTCACCAGGGTCACACTGCACAGCAATAAGCCACCGTCTTCTACCATAGCAGGGACGGCAAACACAGCCCTCACATTTCTGTGAGTGTTTGCTGGGACAACCATAATAGGTTCTTGGCGTGTTGCCTCTTGGCGCCTTTCACTGGACAAGGACGGGGCTGACCAGTAGCAACAGAGACCGCAGGACCCGAACAACCCAGGGTCTTCACTCTCTGGTCCCTTAGCAAGTTGCCTGATCCTGTCCTCCATCATCACTGGGTCTCTGTGTCACAGCAGCCTGGCCTTCCTGGAGCTGACACGGGACACAACCTGCGCCGCTCACTACAAGAGATGCGATAAAAGACCTTAAATTCAGGTGACAAGGCCTTGTTCCCAGAAAGCACCTGCCACATGATCTGGCCCACTTCAGCGGGTGGTCAGCCTCTGAGCCGATGCCCCAGGCAAAGTTGCACCACTCAGCCTGCGGGAAATCCTCCCACAAAAGAAGTAGGCCACGTGCACGCTCTAGGAGGCTTCAGCGATGGCTCACGGTGCTGGGTCCCTGCCACCCACATGGGAGACCTGGGTTATGTCCCCACTCCTGTTCCAGATGGGCTGAGCTCTGAGCCATTGCAGGCATTTGGGGAGTGAACCAATAGATGGGAGCAGTGGCCTGGGGACAAACATGTTTTCTTCCTACTCAACGGCTTTGTTTTCTTTGACAGAAGTTGGACCAACGTCCACCTGACAGTTCTGAAACAAGGTCAGAAAGGGAATTAATACATCCCCACTTCCTTTATGGGTCAGCACCCAGGAAGCAGCCTGGCGGACCCGTCCTTTGACCCGGCGCTGGCTGCTGATTTGACGATTCTCTTGAGCTGATCTCTGCCTTCCTCAGTCTCACAAGAGGCTCAGAACGGTGGAGCCGAGAGACGCCGCTGGTCCCTGGGGTTTCTGCAAGACAGGACTCTACATGCTCTTCTGGCGACAATTGAGCCCTGTTAGCAGGATGTGAGCTGTCAGCTCCACCGGCCTGCACATCAGGTGTCTGGAAGGGGAACGGCCCAGGAGTGATGAAGATGCGAGG